GAGGTCCTGGGTCCCAGCACTGAAAAACAAAAGGAAGAAGGGGTTGGGTGTCACTGGGGCAACAGGGAAGCTGTTGGGCTGGGGGTGAAGCTGAGTTCACGAATTCGACCACAGAGGCTGGGACTGGGAGCCCAAGTGGGTGAAGCTGGGCCGGCTCCCTTGCTGCTCCCTCAGGGCTGCGGGGAGCCCGTGTGCCTGAGGCTGCCCCGCTCTGCGGAGCCCTCCAGGCGGCTGGTCCAGTTACAAACTCTCTACAGCCTGGCAGGTGGGAACGCTGCTGCAGGGTCTGAGCGACTTCATCCCGCGCCTCACAGCGGTGAAGGAAGAGGGAAGAGAGGCCCAGGTGACCACAGAACATCTGCGTGTGAGGGGCCGCTTCCCACCCAGCACACACGTCATCCTGGGCCTGGTCCCACTGCCACCAGAGGCCCGAGCCAGGAGTGGGGGAGACCTGACCGACAGCCCCGGGGCATCCTGGATGCCCTTGTCCTGCACCCCTCTCTGGTCTGCACCCCCACCTGCCCTCCTTGTGGCAGCTAAGCCTGTCACATGGATGCCATCACCTCAACACTGCCCGTTTCTACGTCTTACCCTAGCAGATGAGCCCCACAAATGCCTGGCCCCGGTAGCCTCTCCAGAGCCCTCTCACACCCCTGACCCCTTGCTGTGGCGGCATCAAACGGCCTCGTTTTGGTAAAATGTCCCACTCTTCTCATTATTTATGTTCACACTCCTGGCTCTGCTTGTGTGTCTGCCTCCTAGTCCTTCCTCTGGCGTCCGGCCCCAGCTGGACACTCGCATATCCCCCGTGATGCCACCAGAAGATGGAGCCACCCCTGTAGGCTCCCACAGCTGCCTAAACGCAGGGACTCAAGGATGGCAATGATGTCACACTGCCCTGTGTCTCTGGTCCCAACAGAACCTGACAAAGATGGGCGGGAAGTCCTGACGAATGACTGAACTCAAGGCAAGGGCATCCATCCCGTAACCACGTTTGGAGCCCCAGCTGTGTACACAGCTGTGCTTGGCCCTGCAGGGCCATGCGTGACTTAGGGCCCTTGGCTCTACAGGTGCTCCGGCCCAGATGGCACAGAGCAGGGAGGCTCCGCAGACCGCTTTGGGCGGTTCCTGGTGAGACCGCATCCTGTGCCGGGCTTCTCCTTCCTCCACAAAGCTCCTTCAGAGTCTGCATCCCCCAGACCGTGAGGGTCTCTGGCATCCCCTGGACAGGACCCAGCACTTGCTGGATGTAATGAAGTAGGTGCTGAGCAAGACAGGCCACCAAGATGGCAGGACAGCAGGACAGCAGGACAGCAGGCAGGGAGGCTGAGCACAGCCATCCCAGGGAGCGGGCTCCAGTGTACCGCTGCCATCCATGCCCCTGCTTTTATGATGGCCCTCAGGGCATGGAGGGCAAGGACCTCTCCCCACCTTCCACTTAGGGGACAAGGGGACTCACAAAAGGCCACACAGCTGGTGAGTGCCAGGGCTGGAGTTGAGTCCAGGTCTCATTGCAAAGCCAACACCGCCCCTGCTGTGCTGCCAGGCAGCCATGCTCTCCCACCCTCGGGGGCCCACTCGTGCTACACCTGGGTTCTCACCTCTTCGGAGGAACCAGGTCAGAGGGGAGTGACTTAGTCCCAAATAAAGCTGAATCCTTTTGTGACTCGGCAGAAGGTATCAAACAAATGGCGAGGTTCAGGGGCTGGTCCAGTGAGCCTCACCTCATGTGTCTTGCTGCCTCCTAGCGTCTCCTCCATCTTTCCCAGCTTCCCATCCATCCATCCATCCATGCAAGCATCGTTCCATCTGTCCATCCATCCATCATCCGTTCACCACCCAGCTGTCCCTACTTTCATTCACGTACTTGCTGGGCAAGTTTTTGATGCCGGACTAGGGATTTAGCTCAGTGGTTCTGCTGCCTGCCTTATAAGCACGAGGTCCCATGTTCGATCCCCAGTACCAAAAAAAGTTTTTGATGCCTGTTACACCCTGGTCAGGCACTGGGGGGGATGCAGAGAGATAAAACACAGTCCCAGCTATGTAACTGAAGTGCAGGAGGTGCAAACACAATGGCAGAAGACATGGCATGGTGGGGACAGAGTGACTGTCTGGATTGGTGTCCAGGCTGTTGTAGGGAAGGCGTCCCGCAGGGGCAGGCACCCTTCTTGCTGCCTCCCCAAACTACCAGTGCAGTTGGCCCTGGCCAGCTCCACTCCGGCTTGTCAGGAGATCTCTGAGAAGTCCTTTCTCATGGGGAGGGGAAGGAAGGGGAACCCTCACAGAACCTCCCTGGCCCTCATGTGCACTGTCTTTTCTGGCTCAGTGTGAAATGACTGGGTCCAGTCCCCACCATGTGGGCCTCAGTCACTGGACAGGGTGTGTGTGGTCACCCTGTTTCCCTCACCTCGGCTCTGTGGGCCCCAGGTGTCTTCAAGGGCCTGGCCTTCCAGACCCCCAGCTTCACCAGAGTGGAGTGGCACCCAAGCTTGGTCTGACCCAAATCCTCCACCAGCCCTGGTGAGTTCAAATCTCATCTGCAGAGCTGGGCATGGGGCACACGCCTGTAATCCCTGCATCTGCAGGCTGAGGCAGCAGGATCTTTACGAGTTTGTGGCCAGCCTGGCCTATATAGTGAGTTTAAGGCCAGCCCGGACTGCATAGCAAGACACTGTCTCAAAAACATAATACAGCATAATACAAAGCACTTGCACATTCATGGCCAGGCTGCCATGGCCGATCCTGAGGCAGGGCAGGCACTGTGGATCCTATTTTGTAGGTGGGCCCTTGAGGTCAGAGGAGCTGAGGTGCTGTCCCTGCTGGCAGCAGCCACTGGAGGTCTGAGCTGAGGCCCTGGGGTCACAGGCCTAGGGTAGGTCCTGGCTCTGCGACTTAATCATGGGCCTCAACTCACCTCTAGGAGGGACAGGAACAGCCCTGGACTGAGTGCTCTCAGATCCAGCAAGTGGAACGCTAGCGGAGCACCTGGGACATTTAGGGTGCTGAGGAGTTGGGGTATTGTTAATTCCAGTCTTCTCTGTCCCAGGCAGCAGCTGGCAGTGGAAGGTGGTTGCTTTAAATACGAGATGTGGAGAACAAAAGGAAACTAGAACAGGATGGTGGCTGTGGCTAAACTCACCACCCCTTCCCAGTCTGAGCGAGGCGGGGACACGGGTGCAGCTGCCTACAGCTGTGCAGCTTACTAAGGTCAGGAGTGGGGGACACTGGCTTGGGCTGGGATCCCCCGCCAAGTAGACGCACCCTGCCTGCTGGTGAGGTCAGTCCCTGGAGAAGCAGGAAGTAGATTCAGCAAGATCCTGGGCTCCCATGAACCCTTCCAGGGAAACACTGAATATTTCCCAATTTCCCAGCAGATTCTCGCAGCCCCGCAGCCCGCCCCCCTCATGGGTTTCCACGGGGTCTCCCTATGGAGCTCTCAGGCTTTACCTGCTCACCCTGTGGCCAGCACCTCCACTCCTGTCCCCCATCCCGTGAGACCCATGGCTCTGGGGTCTGTGGCGGGCCAGGGTTTCCTTCTCTGGGCCACAGGGCAGGTTGGGGTGGGGACTCTAGCTGGGCCAGGGGAGGGCACTGAGGTGTTGGCTGCTGGCCCCCTCTGATGCCACAGGTGTGATGGGGCTGTGGTCGCTGACTCCTGTAAGGAGACACTGCGGCTGCTGGGTCTGGAGACAGGGTGGGGTCAGGAGGTGGCCGAGCCAGAGATGGACCATGGTTTTAGCGTGCGCGGGGACCTTGGCCGGAGCAGCACTGAGGCTAACAGAGACCCAAGGAGCCCGCCCACGCAGGAAGAGTAGGGGCCCGGGGCCTGCCAGGGCTGCTTCCTAGCCAGATGCTGGGCCTGACACCCTGTCTCCTTCAGCCTTCCCTCCCTTGCACCCCTGAGATCTGCTGACCCCCAACCTCCTGGTTCCTCAAGTTCCACTCTGCCCCTGCTGCTCCCTCAAGCACTTCCTACCCACTCACCCTCTCCTGGGAGATGCCCTGGCCTAGCTCAATGCCACCTCCTCTGTGTAGCCATCCTCAGCCCCCCAGTCGCGAGAGCTGCTCCTTTCTCTGAACCCCAGGTTCCCTGAACCCCACCTTCTCTTCTCCAGCAATGACTTCACTATGTGCTCCTTTCTGTTCCTGCCTCCTTCCCCTTCCTAGACTGTGAGCCACAGGGGGGTCCAGCCATCAAGGAGCCCCCAAGGAACGCCGGGGACCACGCTGGCCTGGGGAAGGAAGGAACCCTGGGAAACAGACCCGCTATGGATCCTGGCCCCAGCCTGGCTCACCAGTGACCGTGCTACCCTGAGGGTGACCACCGTGACTGAGGTGGGAGGGTTCTTGCTGCTGGGGCGCTGTGTGCTGTGTGCTGCCCAAGCCCCATCCTGGTGAGTTCCCACTGGTCCTGGGGAGCGGGCTGCCAGCACCCAACATTTCAGGGACAGGCGAGGGGTGCCCAGGGCCAACACAGCACAGGCTGGCAGGGGGCGGCAGCTCCACACCATCCCGTGCCTCCCGGCATCCTGGGAGGCAGGTGCTTTCTGTCCCCACTATACAGACAAGACAGCAGAGGCAGCGTGGCTCCGAGGAGCAGGCACCCCGAGCCGGATCTGTGGATCTTGGGACCACACTCCTGGCCACCAGTCTGCCACCCGGGCTGCAGGTGGCGTCCGCCGTACTTGCTGGCTCCCACGTGCCAGTTAGAGAACAGATTGCCAGCAGGCGGCTCCTCAGCCACAGTTATTCCGGGCCTGGCACCCCCTCTCCACCTCCCATGCCACCCCCACCCTGCACCCCTTCCTCTCCCACTGCGCGCTGCCCATCCCCCCAGCAGCACCTGGTGTGGCACAGAGAGCCAGAGCAGGTGCGGGCTCAGGAGCTGCTCCCACCGAGACCCAGGGCCAGGTCAGCCCTCGCTCTGCTTGGCTGTGCTCGGCCTTGGTGGTGACGGTTGATCTTTGCCACAGTGCAGAGCAGCAGCTCTGTCTCGCCACTCCTGGGGGCGCAGCTGGGCTGGGCCTTTGAGCTCCCACCCGAGTCCTAGGTGTGCCATCTAAGGTGCGCCGTGGGCAGGCAAGGGCGGTTTGCCCCGCTTAGCCCACGCCCAGTGTGCCCTGGTCCGAGCCTAGGACTGAGGCTGGGACTGCAGCCATCCCCAGCCCCTCAGTCAGCCAGAGCTGCCCCTTCTCTGAACCCCACCTTCTCCCCTCCAGCAATGACTGCACTGTGTTCTGCCAAAGGGTCTTCATGTCCCGAAATGTGCCCGCCCCACGCCTTTCTTGCCCCTGTGCTACTCCGCTCTCCCAGGACTTGAGCTGCTCCCTACCCTGGCAGAATCTCATGCTTCCTTCACAAGTAGCCTCCACCCCTATACGAGACTGCACCTGGGCCCCTCCCTCCTCCCAGAAGGCCCTGTCCTACCTTTTGTCAAATTGCTTTTCACGCCTGATTGGGCCCAAGCATTTGTCCACAGCAGATGAGATTCACAGGGGCAAGACCTGTGGCTTTCCACCTCTGCATGCCCAGCTCCTGGGCCTGGCACTCCATAGACATTCAACGAACATCTGCTGAACCCAGCTGTACTGTGTGGGCAAGGAACAGCTTTCCAGGGGTTTGGTCTGCTCTCACCGGGGGCACCGCCGAGTGGGCTTCCAGCAGCCTCGAGACCATTCACCAGAAACATCTCCCCCCAGTCTCAAGAGGCGGGAGACCAAGGTCAGTTTTTGGTCACTTTAATTGTAAAAACCAAGATGTTTATATAAATAAGACCGCTGTGTAAAATAGGATTCATCCTTCTACTAAAACCCTTCTTCCCACACTCAAAAAGAATCTAGAAAACCCAGCAGAGATACGAAGTACAAATCAGCATGCAGTCCCTGATGATAAGTCACTGGCAGGCCAGGTTCCCTGCTGAAGTGGCCCCGCGGTGAAAGCCCTCCCAGCCAGGTCTCAGCGCCTCTCTGGAGCTCAGTGACAACTCCAGAAGGCGTGCTGGGGCAGTGCACTCACCCCAGCCCCTGACTCTCAACTGTGCCTGCCTGCGCTCTCGGTGCTCTAGGCCGGCTGAGGCAGGACAAAAGGTTCCCTCGCCTGGGGCTGGGAAGGGAGGAGAGGGCGGGGAGGCTGCTTGGTCCTCCGGCCAAACCCAGGCTGTGGAGCCACTGGTACAGCGGTGAGACGCGGTGTTGGCTCAGCCTGGGATCAAGCTGGGGAAAGGGCTTTGGGAGTGGTCACTGCGTCCCCAGAGGACAAGGAGAGAAGCTGTTCATGTCCCTTGAGAGGAGAGGCTTCTTGAGGCCACTTCCATATGGCCACTAATGACAAGGACAGTGGCACTTCTCAGCAGTACAGGGGACAGAAGGGCAGTGAGGCTCCCGGGACGCTAAAGGACAACAGCCCTGGAGAAAGACGGGACTGGCGTGTCCTTCTGGGGAAACCACCCCGTCTCCTTCACCCTGCCACAGGCCCCCACCCTGCCCTCAGAGATGGCTGCCTCTGCCCTGTCCACCGCCTGGGACTCAGAGGGAGCTGGCTGGGAGCCCGGGGGTGGAGATGTCAACAGATTCACACACTGGGCATGGCTCAGGAAACGGGTACACGAGGATGAAAGAAAAGTCCCCAAACTCTCCTTGGAAAGGCCAGGACCTGCCTGGGGCTCCCCATCCTAGAGGAGAGGCAGGAACAGGCCCTGTGGGGGCGGAGGGTCAGGAGCACTTCCAGACGCACACGGCCAGGGTCCCCCCGAAGTACAGGTACAGGAGGTTCTTCACCTCGTGAGTGATCTCAAACCCAAAGCCTTCGCCGATCACCACGTGCCACGAGGAGCCAAACTTCTTGTCCATTGTCTCCTTGATCATCTTGGCGGCGCTCTGCAAGGGAGAGGGCTCTCGTCAGAGGGTCTCGCTTAGCTCCCTCCCCAGAAGGAGAAGCCCAGCACAGCCAGGGCTCTTGGCAGGAGAGAGGCCTGCTGTCCTGCTCCTGATGCTCTGCTCGGAGCCTTCAGAAAGGGTTTCCATGCGGGTCACCTCCTGCCAGGCTACTGCGCAGGGACAGGAAGTGAGACATTACCTCACCTGGCAGCAGGGAACTGGGGGAGTGGACACCAGGCAGGCCGTCCTCGGGGCCGCAGGAAGTGGGGGTGTGAGGCATGAGAGCACTCCGTGCAGTGCGGGTTGCCATCGTCCCAGCAAGGTGCCAGGACAGGCGGACTGCTTGTGCCTGGTGTGGTCACAGCCCACTGCCTCCCATTCTGGCTTCCTCCAGAAGCTCCCCTAGTGTGGAGAGGAGGCCTGGGGAGGGCCGAGGCTCAGGCTCCCAATGTGCACCCACCACTGAGCCAGGCGCCGTTCAGAGCACTTTGTCCCCCTTGTCTCAGTAAGCAAATCCTCAAGACTGGCCCAGAAAGGGGAGGTCATCATCCCCGGGTCACAGAGCAGGACCTGGCTTGAGATGAAAAATGGCCCAGGCAGGGAGGCTGGAGCAGGATCTGAACTGGGGCCTGGCTGGTCCAAAGCCTGGGCTCTCACTGGCCATCAGGGCCACCGGACTGACGGATGACACTGCAGGGATGAGGCCTACAGCCCCGTCTCCAACCCCCAGCAGCGCCTGTGGCACAGCGCTTTCTGGATGGATGGATAAATGCGCGAATGAAGGCCTTGTTGGATGGAGCCTGGGAAAGAGCCCTAGTGAGTGGCCCACCTGGGGGCACCAGGGCAGGGTGGTACAGAGACCCTGCTGGCCTCCCTCCCTTCTGTCACCACCAGGCTATTCTCTGACTCCCCAGCCTGTGACACCTCCAGAATGGCTCTGGCCTAGTCCCAGCAGGGCGCTGGCTACAGGGGTCTGGGGCCACACTGTTCACCCCACGGCCCCCTGCCCTGATGAGTACCTCGTTGTTGTTGGAGAATTTCTCACAGGCTGTGACGCACAGTTCCATGGTTTCCACTCGCATCTCCTCTGGCATGTCCGAGTGCTGGAGGCAGGGCGGGGTGACAAACAGAGAGAGGCTTAGCCCACGACCTGACTTTCCTGGCTGGCCTCGAGGTCCCGTGCTTAAGGCATGGACACCAGGTAGCTCCTCTGGCTTGGCCCTGGCAGGTGACTCATTTAACTGAGGGGGAAGGAGCCATGTGGGCTGGAAGCCAGGGCCCTCTGCAACGGCCCGGTCCAGGCAGTGGACACAGGGGAAGGGTGGCTGGAGGTGGGGCAGGTGACTGTGGGAACGGCCAGGAGAGACTTTGGCCACTTGCGAGGACTCCTGGTTTCCTCCTGTCTCGCCAGCTGCTCCTTTTCCATCAGCTGGATTCTCTTCCTCCTGCCTGGGGCCCCTTCTCCACCCTTTTCCTACTCCAGCCATGGTCCTCTAGGGGTTTTGTCCCTTTCCACACACTAGGTCTTCTCCACAGGACAGGAGGGCTCCTACATTTTCATCTCTGGCTCTGGACTTTTCCTTGGGCTCTGGTCTCCCACATTCAACTTCTGACTTGACAATCTCACTTAGATGCCTAAAACACAACGTGATTTTCCCCTAAACCCACTCTTCCTAGAAAAAGGGTAACTAACACACTTTCCTTCCCATTGTTTAGGAAAGAACAAACTCCAGGCCCATCCACAGTGAGCTCAGCACCTTTGCCCTCAAGGTGGGTCCTGACTCCGGCCACACCACACCCGCACTCCGGGTCCAGCCTGGCCACTGTGTCTCCCCACACCCTGCAGCAGCGCCCCTCTGTTTCCCCACTGCCACTCTGGTACCCAAGTCCATTCACCCCTATCTACACCCCCTCCACTGCAGCTCTCTGACCTTGGGCGGGGTCCTCGTGTGGCCACCACCAGGCCTGGAGTCTGGTCCCGCCATCACTGACACTCACATCCTGTCACCCGCTCAGCACTCCACGCCAGCCACGCTGGCCTCCTCTCTAGCCCTCTCCAGTGCCAAGCCCATGGCTCTGTATGTGCTGTTCCCCTGAGAATGCCCTTTCGCGGCCTTTGCCAGGCTGCCCCCCAGCTGGATTCAGGTCTCTGAGCCCCATGGCCTCTCTGGAGGGCAGCACTGCTCTCATGCCCTGTACACCTGCTCTAGTTTTCTTCATAGCACTTGTGGCCTATAAATGCATCCTTTAAACATCCTCTCACGTGGGCCAGGCTGTCATCCGCCTGTTGACCACTCTCTCCACAGGGTCCAGGACTATGCACAGAGCAGGTGGCCAAAATACATACGCGGTGGATGAATGAATGGGTGAGAGGATGAATCACTGTCGCCTCCTTGATGTTCAGGTCTGAGTCAGCAGAGCCCTTCCCTTTCCCCACTGCCATCCTGCAGGGGACACACTGCACTTGCCTGTCCAGGGTGTGCGGGCCCCGCTGGCCGCCTGCCTCCTCCCCTCGACTCACCCTGACCAGGGGGAAGGTCTGTAGACGCTTATAGTCAGCCTCATCTTTCTTCCCTTCTGTTTCTCCCATGATCCTTCCACTGTGACCGCTGGAGGAGAGGGAGGGCTCTCAGGAGGTGCTGGGACTGGCAAGGATGCCCGGGAGAGTCAGGAAGCAGACCCTGCCAACTTGGTGGGAGCAGAAAATGTCTCTCCCCAAGGGGTGCTGTAGAAAACAGGAAAACCGGGAGAAAAAGAGTTGGCTTTCAAACCACACATCACAAATTAGAAATGTCTCAGTAACAATTTGACACCTCCCTGTCTTAACTCCTCCACATTCCTTCCCAAATGGCCAGCAAGTCTGCAGACGGAGTGAGTCAACGCGCGATGCTCTAAGAACACACTGTCATTGTCAAGGCAGATACTGACTGCATGCCAGGCCCGGGATGGAGCGAGAGCTAGCAATTAACAAATGTCCACGACTCCCCATGGCATGATTAGGAAGTCAAATGCTCAGGTGACCCGTGACAACATGAGCTTATTGCCAAGTGAGAGGCCACCTCGGCAGGAGAGAGAGGTGAATGGGTAAATGGGGTGGGTGCTGTGCAGCACCCTCCTTGGCACACCAGGCTTCCTGGCTGTCTCCTCTCAGGCCACCAGGCCTGGCTGGCCGGCCCAGGTCGTGGGTGAGCTGGGTGCTGGTGCTGGTTCAGTGGTGATCAGCAGTATGGCCTGAGGTCTGGGATTCTCATCAGTGACAGGGCACATGGAGGTAATAAGCACAGTGCCAGGCACTGGGTATGATGAGTGCCTGTGCCCTCCCTCTGGTTCCCAGGGAATTAAAGGAGAGACTGTGTGGGTCCGACAGGAAAGTGCTAACACCTTATACATAAAACTAAGACAACTTTATGTGTACACGTGCCTCCCTGGTCAGATCTGGTCATCTGATAACAGACGTGGCTTTTCCTAAAGAGGCAGGCCTGGGTCCTAAGTGACCGGAACACTGCCAAGGTCTGGGTGTCTCTCTTCTTTTTTTTCTTTTTTGCAGGGGATCAAATCCAGAGGTCCTCTTACCACTGAGCTACAACCCCAGCCCTTTCTATTTTTACTTTGAGACAATCAAGTCTTGCTAAGTTGCCCAGGCAGGACTTGAACTTGTGAGCCTCCTGTCTCAGCCTCTCTGTGCTGGGATTAACAAGTGTGAGCCACCATGCTGGGCCTGGATATCTCTCTGTCATTCTCCAGTTCAATATATCCTATAATTCAAAGGGCTTTTTATCCTAGAAAAAGTACTGACATACATACATACAAATTACTGTGCTGGTAAACTTAACAATCTATATTGGACAAATACAGTTAAATAATGTTATTCTAGCATTTCTCACCTTCTCAAATCGATTTGCTTTCATGACACAGAACTGCAAGATGCCAAACAGCAACAACAGTATATACCCTACACACACACACACACACGCGCACGCGCGCGCGCACACACACACACACACACACACACAGATATATAGATATAACTGTTCATTACACATTTCAAAACAGGTGGCTCTTACTATATTGCTGACACTGTCCCCAGACTCCTGGGTACAAAGGATCCTCCTGTCTCCCCCTCCTAAGGAGCTGGGACTACAGGTAGATAAGGACAGGTGACACATCTTGGGTTTGCTGTGTACCAACCGCTCTTCCAGCCTTTGACATGGAATTGTGCAGCTCTGCACTGCCCTGACCCAGGAAGTCGGGGCCCATGTGAACGGTGGCAGGGGCTGCTGTCACTGGACCAAGGTCACTCAGCTAGGGAGCAGCAGGGCTGCCATGACCCCTACGCTCCTCACTTCAAAGACAGTGCATGCACCACACATGCGTGGACCTGACCACCACTGTGCCCCAGATGATCCCAACAGCGAATGTTTGATTGTCCCTTTTTTCTCAGTGTCTGCTTTCTACGGTGACCATGGCCTTGGTTTGGCCAAGGTTGGGCCCTGTGCACTCCTGGCTCTCAACTGTCTCCCTCTCTCCAACGCTTCTGGAGCCACCGGGTCACCCCATTCGGTCAGCTCCCTCGAGCAAGGCTGCCAGCCTGGCACCGACCCCGCCTCGCGTTGGTATTTCTGATTTCCCAGAGGACAGATGGTTCCTTTTATCTCATAATTCTGGGCGTTTGTACCACTCAGATATTAGCAGTTTTTGTTTGTCTCTACATATGAGCTGGCAGATTACCAAGCACAATTCATTGTACTTTCTGGTCAGGTTTCTTATTTCACAAAATGCAGTGAATCATTTGTCTGTGCTAAGGATTGCTAAGGCTAGGCTTCCACTCCGCCAGTCTCCTGGCTTTGGTACTGGCCTCTTTACTACCTTCTCCTCCACCTCCACAGCATGAGAGAAGCTGGTCACTAAGCTAATGATAGCAGGACACTAGGGCCTTATGCTTTGTTTACCTCTGAGAATTTCAAGTGGGAACAATTTAAGATGTGGAAGTGGCTGCTTGGGCAACTTCTACCTTAGTATTTCAATTCAATTCAATTCACTGTCAGAGCTAAAAGGAGCTGGCAGGCAGAAGCAAGAGGAAGAGAAGTGAACTGTGCAACGCTGTCCTCAAGGTGGCCAGGGGCTGTGGCAGCTGACTTTATGCTAGGGAATCCTGCAGGACAATCAGCAGACTTCAGAGGGACTCCCAAAGCCCATCCTCCTTGGAGCAAAGCCGGGGATACCCCTGGGACAGTTACGGGGCAGCACTGTGTAGAGAACAGCATGAGGACCAGGACTCGAATATCTGGGACTGAACGCCAGTTCTGAAGAGGGGTAGAGTTCTGTCCACTTCTTTGCTTTGTAGCCCAGGGTAAGTAATTTGGCCAGGCCTTGCTCTCCTCTAGGAGACACAGTGTGTCTTCAGGTGAGCGTTATGAAATGTTAGAGCTCTGCCGGGGCACCGCTGCCTGCTCCTACTTCCGCCAACACATTGGCCGGGACTCGGTCAACATCCCTCAACCATGTGCTTATTAAAGACCACGATTTATTTATTAATAGCTTTTCCTAACCACAACATATGCTTCCAGGGATCCAAAAGGGATGACACTTACAGAGTAAAAGGGAGAGCCACAGAGATGCTCCCAACTGCAGAAAGTAGGAGAGTTCTACGGCCATGCTTAGAAAATCCTACTGAAAGGGTGCTACCAAAAATAGCAGAGCTAGGAGGTTTAATAACCTTATCAATCTCCCATGTGCCTGAAAGAAGCCGTGTCAGGCTGGAAAGAGCCTTCTAATAATACGTGTGCCCAGCCAGGGTATTTGAATCTGCCAGGTTCCAGAGCTCGAGCCTGTGGCACCAGGCCCTTGGTAGCTCCCCAGCCTCACTCTCTCCTGTCACCCTGTATTCTCTCTCTCCCTCTCCTCTGGGCGCATCATGGCATCCAGGTGCACAGACAGGGCTCCATCTCGTCGCCTTGTCCAAGCCAGTGTCCCTGTCTTGCTGTGCCTGTTCTACGGTATTGGCCTCAGGTACCACTTGTTTTGCTCTAGAAGCAGCTGAGGACCCTTCAGAGGGCTAGGGATGTGGGCAGAATGGGAGACCAAGCCAAAAGGATCGGCCAGCCCTCACACTCAAAGCCTGGAACTCCTGGTTCTTAGTTCAGGGTTCACTGAGAGGTGGCAGGACACACTGGAGCGTGTCATGGGGGTTCTGGGAGCAGACTCCAGACAGGTCTGCAAACACAGCTTGGGTCTGTTTCGAACACATGCTCGCTTCTCAGCCTGGGTACTGGGAACAGCAATGAGCTCCACCTGATGGAATCAGCTCTTGAAACTGGGCAGCAGGGACCGGGACTTCTGTATCCTCCTTCACAGTCCAGTCCAACAAACCATTTCCTGAGTCCCACTACGGCCAACCACTGTGTTAATGTGGGAGGGGGACAGTCACAAGGATCCTTGGCAAAGCCTCACCCGGGCCAGGCAAGGGTTGCAGTGGTGACGTTGTGCTTTCACATTCTGGTTCTCAATTCAACCTCAGAGGGAAGGGTCAGCTCCCAGCTCTCAGAGAAGGCATCTGAGCTCGTAAGAGGTTTTGGGGCTGGCTCAAGAGTGCACAGCAAGGGCCAGGGATTTAGCTCAGTGGTTCGGTGGCCTGCCTTGCAAGCACAAGGACCCGGGTTCAATCCCTAGTACCAAAAAAAAAAAAAAAAAAAGAGTCCACAGCAAGCAGTGGCAGAGCCACGACTGGAGCCCAGATCTGTTCTTCTAACTTTACCTTCTGTGCTTTCTCCCATGGAAGGGAGAAACCTAAATCACTTCCGCCAGCATCTACCTGTTCGCCATCCCGCCTCCTGCTTCCACCAGGGAAGTGTGTCAGGGACACACACCTGTGTACCTTGGTCATCACTGCTTTTCCTGAAACATCTACCCTGTGGCTTCTACCAAACAGCTGTTAAAGGTGAGGGGAAAGGAGCCCAAGGACTTTGGGACATGCATCAAGATACCAGTCGGTAAAGTCCAGAGATGATGTGGAAGACGGGGTTTCACAGGCCAGGTTAGAGTGGGGAGCGAACCCGGGGTGGCCATGCTTCAGTCTCACTAAATAGAAGCATTAGGAACATGTCATCTACTACCAAAGAGGGAAATGTGAAAGTTACAAGGAGAGAACTGCCGGATGAGGGCCATTCTCAGGAAGACAGTTACCGTTGCCAGGCATACACACAAAGGCTGCTTTGTTCTATTTTGCTTTTTGAATATAATCCCTATTGTTTGTCATTTCACTGACTTCCAGTGAAAAACCTGATGTTTCTTAGATCATGGGAAGGACAAAGAAAAGAATGGAAGGGGAGAAAGCGAGGTAGGAGAGGGAAG